CCACCTGAGAAAAGCATCCTCATAGATAAATTTGTGTAGAAACTCTTTAAAAAAAAGTTTTATAGTTGAGTGTGGAGTTCAGTGATAGAGTGCTTACTTAGCATGTTTGAGGTCCAGTACCCCCCCAAGTTATTATAAACTTTAATAAATATGAATACTTCTAGACTTCTAAATACCCCAAATGAAACATGCCAATGCTGCCCTCCAGAAAGGGGTCAAGACACAGTGGTCATTTCGGTCTTGGAGGTTGTACTTGCTTCATCAGTCTGTATATATCCTTGGAATTGAGATATTTTACTGTGTGTATATGTATTCCTTTTTCTTTTTCTTTTTGGTGTTGGGGATTGAACCCAGGGTGTTATGCATACTTGGCACGTGCTCTGCCACTGAGCTGCATCCCCAGCTTGAGTTTTACCATATTGGTTAGCCATGTGGGGGCTAGGTAAGTTTAAAAGTTGATCTTCTTTTCAAAATCCTACTAAAGTGATAGTGAAAGAACACAGAAGGTAAAGATGGCCGTGGAGGAGAGCCTGGCAGCAAATGGAGGTGTGATAATTGACTTGGCAGATGAGAGATGCTTCAACCTAATGTGCCTGTGCTGTGGCAGTGAGGTTATTTACCTTCAGAGCTGCTGGGAGTCTCAGACATGGAGAGCATCAGCTCCTGGAGAAGACTGGGGAGATGGGCCACAGTCTGGGGAATTAGTTAAGAACTTTGAGAACAGGAGTTGTTAGACCTCCAGAATCGTCTCTAGACCCTGGATATGGGGCACCTGTCCATCCCTGCCCCTCTCCCCTACCCCAGCATCAGAGAGATGGACACTGGAATAATAGTGAAGGGGTGTGAGTGACTGATGAGACTGATACCCACAGGGACCTCCAGTTGTCTTCTGCCCTGTCTCACATTGCCAGCAGCCAGGCATGGACAGCCCTGCAATGTATTGGAGAATTCTTTTCAGGGAAAGTTGAACTACTACAGAAAAACATGTCCCTAGATAACGAAATTTGAGGATTCCTGCATAGAAGGTCTACCCCTCCCCCCCACTAATTGAGGCTCACAAGCTAATATGTCCTACACACACATACACACACACACACACACACAAATACACACACACGCACCTCCAGTCTGCTTTGGACCCTCATTTAGGATCAGGCAGCCCAAAACCACCAGTTATATTAAGAATATAAAAGACAGATAATTAAAACAAACCAGAAAAGAAAATCTTCTCAGAAAATGATTTGAAGAAAGCAGAGGAAAACATGTGTCTTGAGAAAAGTTATTTTCAGAGAAAGAAAAGCTATTTCATACAGAAAATAAGAACAGCGTTAATGAAAGAGAAACTATTAGAGAACAATTAAGAGCTGTTGAAAATTGCTTTAATTTGGAAAAAGCATTGAGGATGTATCTCTTAAGAAGTGGAACAAAACAGATGGTGTTGGGAGGTTAGTAGAATGAGAAATTTTTATGATGTGTCATCTACCATATGTAAAACTGATAAGTGGAGAAGTCTCAGCTAGGAATATTATTTAGCAACAAGGAGGGTAAGTACTAGAAGAAACAGTAAAATTTCCAGTTGCTTTCCCCTGGGAAATGTGTTTGGGATTGGGGAAGCTAGAAAATATTGGTTTTCATTACATCTTATTTGACTCTGATTAAAAATTTAAAAATATTAGTATAACTGAAAATGAAAGGAGGCATAATGAAATAATTATAGAGTTGTTGAGACAGTGATAAACATCACAATAAATGTGACTCTTTGAGTTGTCTTCATTGGCATATTGAGAGATATCTAATATTACATTTAAAAAATAATCACTGAGCAAAAACCAACAGCATCATGCTAATAATTGGAGACTGAATGTATCCAGAAAGTCCCATAACGAGTCATACAAAAATAAGGGTATGCTATTGCTGAACTAATTAGTGTTAAGTTTGCACTAGTGGGTATATTTTTGAATGCCATACCTTAAAGTACAGGCTACACCTGGCATCCATGAAGTTTTTTTTTTTTTTTTTTTAAGAGAGAGAGAGAGAGAGAGAGAGAGAATGAATTCTTTTAATATTTATTTTTTAGTTTTCAGCAGACACAACATCTTTGTTTGTATGTGGTGCTGAGAATCGAACCCGGGCCGCACGCATGCCAGGCGAGCGCGCTACCGCTTGAGCCACATCCCCAGCCCTCCATAAAGCTTTAACAAATATTATCTACTACATATTTGCCCACAAAAGAAATCTCAACTTTAAGAGGAAAGAAATAATAAGAGGCTTTATTTTTTGACTACAATTCAAGTAGAACTTAATACCATCAAGAAATAAAGACCCTGTAAACAACACAATGAAATATTGGATATTAAAACAAAACAAAACAAAAAAACCTTCTTAAAAGCAATTCTTGGGTCAAAGAAGGAATTAAAACCACAAATGGAAACTATCTAGAACATAGCCATAGAAACATTACTATGGTAGAAACTATTGCCTGCCTTCCCTATGTCCATTCCTCTCTCATTTTACTAATGTTCAGAGTGTCAATGACCAGCTACAAGACCCTGTTTTCCACACCACCTCCTGCTGCAGGTGGCCATTTGATTAAGTTCTCACCAAAAAGATTTAAGAGATTATTGGGGGGCTGGGGATGTGGCTCAAGCGGTAGTGCTCACCTGGCATGCGTGCGGTCCGGGTTCGATCCTCAGCACCACATACAAACAAAGATGTTGTGTCCGCCAAAAACTAAAATATATAAATATTAAAAAAAAATTCTCTCTCTCTCTCTCTCTCTCTCTCTCTCTCTCTCTCTCTTCTCTCTCCTCTCTCCTCTCTCTTAAAAAAAAAAAAAGAGATTATTGGTAGGTGGGCTTCCAGGAAAACTTAAAAAGATGTTTGACGGCACAATCCTGCTTTGAAGTGTTTGGCGTATGTGATACTGGATCAGCTACCTTGTTGTCTAGTACTTGCCAGAGGTAGAGGAGTGGAAAGATAAGAAGTATTCTCCATGAAATCTTGCAGTCCATACCAGTCCTGAACTTCCTACATCTGGGGGAAAATTTTTGACGTCTTAGGCTGCTATTTGGGGTCTCTTTGTTAATAGTAGCCCCAGTAATTCCTAAGTGACAATTATACATTGTGATTAAAGAACAAAAATAAACAAATTAAGTATTCATGTCAAGAAGTTAGAAATAAAACAACAAAATAAAATGGAAGAAAGCAGAAGGAAATACTATAGTCCCTCCTTAGCTATGGTTTCAGTTACTTGCAATGAACTTTGTTCTGTAAATATTAAAATTACAGAAATAACTCTCAAGTTTTAAATTCACATGCTGGTTTTGAGTAGCATGACAAATTTTCACATCATCCTGCCTAAGGTGTGAATCATCCCTTTGTGCAGTGTGTCCATGCTGTATATGCTACCCATCCAGTACTCACTTAGAAACCATCTAGGTTATCACACTGTCTGTTGTGGTATTCCAGTGCTTGTGTGTGTGTAACCCTTATTTTATTTGATAATGATCCCAAAGTGAAAAAATAGTGATGCTGGTGCTTTGGATATGGCAAAGAGAAGCTACAAAGTGCTTTCTTTAAGTGAAAAGGTAAAAGATATTGTGAAAAGGTAAAAGATATTTTGAGAGACCATATGCACATAACTTATTGTAGTATAATTATTCTATGTTTCTGTTGACCTCTTAATGTGCCTAATTTATAAATTAAGCTTTATCATAGGTGTGTATGTATAGGAACAATACCTATATATATAGGGTTCAATACTTTTCACAGTTTTTGGCATTTGCTGAGGTTTTTAAATAAGGGGGGCAGGGCTACTGCAATAAAAATCAAACTAGCGCTCGATAAATTAGAAAACTAACGGAAATGTTTGATAAATATAAGTAATTCTTTAGAGGAACAATTTAAAAAAATACATATCAGTGTAATCAAATAGAAGAAAGCACAAATAATATTAGATAATGAAAAATACAGGGGAAGTGAAATTATTTATCTTTTACAAAGCTCTGTATAATAAACTTCAAAATGTGGATAGACTAGAGGAAGACAGTCATCTATCAGATTGACTCCAAATTAGAAAGAAAACTCAAAAGAGCCCTACAAGTGACAAATGAGACAGCTATTATCCCCATTATTATTCTTTGCTGCTATGGTTTTTCAGAGAAGTGAGTTTCTGCTGGGAACACCTCTGAGCATGGGCGGGGTGTGCGTCCTGCTTGGTGAACTGTTGGCAGGCATCTGACAAGGGTGGTCACACTCCGGAAAGTGAAGGCAATGATTTTTGGCATCCATCACAAAATTCAAAGCCCTGAATTGTCATTTAAAAAAAAAAAAATAACGGTTTTCAGATTGATATGCTTCTTGAACTGTTTTGGGAAGAAAAAGAACAGCTTGAGAAAACTTTCAAATCATTTACTGATAGTTTCACAAATAACTGACTGCTTTGGGTAAAAATGTTTTAAATAGTGCATTCAAATAGTTTTGAAGATTTTAAAGTGGGATTGTGCATAAAAAATGTTTAAAAGTGAGAGGAAAATTAACAATGTAAAAAAAGAAAATTACAGAGCATCAGAACTCCTTAGCATTTACGCACTTTCATGGAAAAATACCTTGTTGGCAAATGCTGGAACACCTTCTTGGTTAAAAATAAATAGCATAAAGTGTGAGGAAACCAACTGAGGGGGGAAAAAAGCAACCAGAATAGCCTCTAAGCCAGAAACAGGAGAGTGAAGTTATGCCAGAGGCATTAGGTCATTACACCTGTGACTGCCCTCTGCCAGGCCCAGTGTTGACAAGCCTCAGATCATGTGGGCTCAAGGGCATCCAGAAAGGCCTGTTTGAACAGGTCAGGGTCAGGGGAGGGCAGCCACTCATGCTTTGGTTGTGAAGTGTCTTGTTTTCCTTTGAACTTTGAAGTTTCTCCCTCATGATTAGTCCAACCTTCATTTAAACAGATGTAATTCTCACTTAATGTCCTCTTTTTACCCCATCTTGCCCCGGTAGCTGGGACAGTGAAGCATGGAGCTGTATTTCGGTGAATACCAACATGTGCAGCAGGAATATGGCGTCCACCTACGGCTTGCAAGTGATGAGACCAAAAAGTCAAGAAATTCCCAGCACTCCAAGGCAGGCTCCTATGGGGTCAGTATTAGGGTCCAGGGAATCGACGGCCATCCCTACATAGTTCTGAACAACACAGAGAGGTGTCTTGCTGGCACATCCTTTCCTGAAAATGGGCCATCATTTCCACCTCCACTGATAAATCACCTGCCCCCCCATTCTAGCAATGGGTCTGTGCTAAAGGAGAACAGCAGAGAAGAATTACAGCTCCCAGAAAACCCATATGCCCAACCCAGCCCAGTAAGAAACCTGAAACAGCCCCCTTTCCATGAGGGCAAGAATGGAGTTCTAGAACACAAAGATGGGCCCATGAAGCCATCCCATGTGCTGAACTTTCAGAGGCATCCGGAGCTTCTGCAGCCCTATGACCCTGAAAAGAATGAGCTGAACTTACCAAATCACCAACCTCCTGAAAGTAATTGGCTAAAAAATTTAACAGAAGAAGGTACCAATAATAAGAAGGCTTGGACTTATTTTCCCAAACCTGGCAGTTCCCAGCCTTCCAGCCCTCCCTTGGAATCCAATGTGACAGCCATTCGTCTGTGCAGCTCTGTGGTCATTGAAGACCCCAAAAAGCAGACCTCAGTGTGCTTGAATGTTCAGAGCTGCACCAAGGAGAGGGTGGGAGAGGAGGCTGTTTCCCCTAGTGAGAGGTCCCTAGCTGCCCACAGCCCACATGCCCACCCCGAAACCAAGAAAACCAGGCCAGATGTTCTTCCCTTCCGTCGACAAGATTCAGCGGGACCGGTCCTGGACGGAGGTCGGTCACGGAGGTCGTCCTCGTCATCCACGACTCCCACTTCAGCCACCTCCTTGTACAGATTTTTACTTGATGATCAGGAATGTGCCATCCATGCTGACAACGTCAATCGTCATGAAAACAGAAGGTACATCCCCTTCTTGCCAGGAACTGGGCGGGATATTGATACGGGATCAATTCCTGGTGTGGATCAGTTAATTGAAAAGTTTGATCAAAAACCTGGGCTTCAGAGAAGAGGAAGATCTGGAAAACGAAACAGAATCAACCCAGATGACAGGAAAAGATCCCGCAGCGTGGATAGTGCCTTTCCTTTTGGTCTTCAGGGGAACTCGGAGTACCTAACCGAATTTAGTAGGAACTTGGGCAAGTCTAGCGAACACCTCCTCCGTCCCTCCCAGGTGTGCCCGCAGAGGCCGCCGTCTCAAGAACACCGAGGGAAGCAAAGTGTGGGCCGCACCTTTGCCAAACTGCAGGGAGCCACTCGGGGCGCTCAGAGCGCCCTCCCCAGGCCTCAGCAGAACAAAGATGGGAAAGTGGCTGAAAACAAAGGAAGTCCGGAAAGCATGGTGATTCCTGTGTCCTCCCTTCCCGCACAGAGTAAAAAGGAAGAAGAAATAAAAACAGCCACTGCTACCTTGATGTTACAGAACCGGGTGGTGCCAACCTCACCCGATTCTGGTGCCAAGAAAATTTCTGTGAAGACGTTTTCTTCCAGCTCAAACACTCAGGTAACACTGGTGTGAGTCCTGTGTTTTTCTTCTAAAATGATGAACTCAGGCTACAGGAGGCTCTAAGGGTGTGTGAGTGTGTGTGTGTGTGTGTGTGTGTGTGTGTGTGTGTGTGAAAAATACACATATATATTCCTATCTATAATCTTGAATCAATAATTGCACATCTGATTTTCTTAGGATTAGATTATGTCCTACTGACAACTGCATAGTTTTTTTTTTTTTTCTAGGATATTTTGAGCACTATTAGATTCCCATTGTGGTCTTTCTGCAAAGTAACTTGTCAAACACTATAGAGAGGATCAGTTTCTTTGTATAAAAATCTGGAAATATGCAAAATTAGTTTCCACAGAGTCAGTGTTTAGGTTTGTCTAGGTATGTTTTTATTTCATGAAGTTGAGTGACTAGGTTAATTTCTAGTCAGAGAAATAAAGTTAATCCTAATTTATAATTGCAAAGTGATGGAATCTAAGTGGTACATTTAGTGTTTTGGTAAGTAACCACAAAATATAATGATATTGATAATAAAGTTGGTAAGTGCCAAGCACTATTTGAATATATTATAGGACTGCACCAGCCTTATGAAGGTAGGTATTATTTACCCTAATTTACAGGTGAGAAAATTGGAGGGAGGAAGAGCTAAGTAAACTTGCCCAAGGTTACAGAGCTAATCAGCCTTGGAACTGACTATAATGAGGAAGCTTACCTGAGGATTTGTTTTTGGGAAGTAGGAATGTGTTTGGAAGCCACTGCTTGAGGGTGTGGGCATCTTCCTGGAAATATCATCCTCATGGTCTAATAACAGATGTTGTGTTCTAGGCCACACCGGATCTCCTGAAGGGCCAGCAGGAGCTCACTCAACAAACCAACGAGGAGACTGCCAAGCAGATACTTTATAATTACCTCAAAGAAGGGTTAGTGATTTCTCTTAAAGACCAAAGTATTATTGTTTCTGACTGGGCTCTTCATTTTCTTTTTTTGAAGCTTTGTATCTTATCCTCCCTTCCTGGTCTGTGCTTGTCATTTGAGGGTTAACTCTCAATGGCAGGAGTTTTCATATTGGCATTCAAGCTTGTGTGGAAAGCTTAAATTTGTAGGGTCCTGGATAGGGGAGTGCAGGGAAGAACATATTTTTTAAATGATCCTTTATTCAAGGATAGGAGAAGGTCCAGTGTTCAGTTTTGAGTTGAGTCTGCCAGCACCTTGACTTCTTCCACGCACACGGTAGTCCCCAATTGTCCCTTATTAGAAGTTACAAATAAAACCTTCATCTCTCCCCAGAGTTAACATTGGCCAGGAGCCCCTGCTTCCATTAGTTTTGAAGCACATGAGTCATTTAAAAGCAGTGCTTTCTGTACTCAACTTGGAGATTGAGTTGGAAGAATCTCGTTTTCAGTCTTTACTCAGATACTAGCTGCACTGTAATTCTCAGCAAGGAATTTGGAAGTTTCTGTTTCAGTTCCCTCATCACATGATACAAAGAGGAGGAAAGAAAGAGTTTTATAAAAGTCTGAGGCAACTGAAAGTCAACCACTGACCACTTTCATTGGTATCTAAACCCTTGATAATTTTGTATGTGTGCTTTACAATATTTGTCTATATGCTGGAGCTGACAAAATAGCTTCAAAGTACAACATGGTAACTCTTTTTTTTTTTGGGAGGGCCGGGGAGGGAAGTAACCAAAGAGATTCTTCTAGCTGAGAGCTAGTTGTTATTTCCTTGTAAAGGGTTTTCCATGTTAAGATTAAGGCAGAAGAACCTTTGACTTTTAAAATTCTTTAAATTCTTTTTTCCTTTGGCACTTGATAATATTGACAGACTGGTAAGGCAGACTTTAGTGGGAGGTACCTTCTTAAGGAATTTTATTTTAAATCTTTTAACTGCCAGGGGTGTGGTAGAAGTTCATAAAACTTAATCTGACTATTACATGTGAAGTCAAGACAAAGGGCCGCTGTATGGACAGTCTTGGCATGGGACTTACAGTTTTTTAAATATGGGCTAAACAAGTAAGATCATTGCAGATTATTCTTAACGTAAGATTTAAACAGCAGTGTGTGTATGGGAAACATCACACACACACACAAAGAAAGAAAAGAAGAATTCCTTTTGGAATGAATTCAAGTCGTTTGAATCAAACAACAAATGACTACATTTTCACTGGGTATTTTCTCCAAAATATTTTAGAAGGTGCAGGTGTTTTTCTCACATGTTTGGAAATGGGAACCTCTGTCCCAAATGGCATATGAAATATTCTGAGCCCAGTGCTTGAGTCCCTCATTGTTTTCTCTGCTGTCTCTTCTGCAGAAGTACGGACAATGAGGATGCTACCAAAAGGAAAGTCAACTTGGTTTTTGAGAAAATCCAGACCTTAAAGTCACGAGCAGCCGGGAGCGCACAAGGAAATAATCAAGTAGGTTGAAGTTTTGTATTTTCAGAGTTCATTTAGCATAGAATGTGGTAAACAACTTGCTGTTTTTTTCAGTCACTACATTTATTTATAGCAGTAGGTGGGAACTTTCCTCAGTGGTAAGCAGTACGGCAGTACCTAAAACAGAAGCCCACGTTTTATATATAACCTAAAAATCTGAAGTGCTCCAAAATCTGAAACTTTTTGAGTGTTCAAATGAAACCATGAGTAGAAAATTCCACACCAAACCTCATATGTCCAGTCACAGTCGTAGCAGTCGTAACAAACACATAAACTTTATTGCATGCCCAAAGTTATTAAAACCATTGTATAAAATTACCTCCTAGCTATATGCATCAGGTATATGCACAATGTAAATAAATTTCGTGTTTTGACCTGGATCCCCCAACTACCTCATTATATATGTGCAAATATTCCAAAATTCAAATAATTTCCAACTTCAAAATGCTTCTGCTTCCAAGTTTTTGGATAAGGGACACTTAACCTGTAATCCTAATTTATAACCTGCTTTTTTTTTTTAAAGAAATGTTTTAAAGATATTTTATTAAGAATGCACAAAACATGACAAGATAACATAAAAAGGTGGCAAAATTTAGAAGGAAAAATTAAGAATAAGAAAAAAATAATGTAATGCTATAATCAGTGGAGATCTCACACATTGTTTTTGGTGAATTAACCATGAAAGGACTAGGACGTGAGCCCAGAAGGTCAGGCGTAAGGCGGAACAAGGACTAGAGACTGGTGAAGCCAACCAGTGTTAGGAAGGGAAAGAGTGGAGGGGAACTAATTCTTAAAAACAGCCTGTTTAATTGTGCTGAATTTGAGTTGAGACTTGGAGATTTTAGGGGGGGTTAAAATGGGAGTCATCTTCTATTTGATAAACATCTACTATGTCCCATCTGCTCGTGCCCTTACTTGTAGCTCAATCCTACAGCTCCTGAGTTAGGCCGCAATATTATTGTGTATCTTCCCTTTCCCTCTAGAAATTCTGCATGGGAGGGAAAGAGGTGATACCTGGAGGTAGGTAGGATTAAGTTTATCTGTAACTTTTTTTTTTTTAACTTTGGAAACTTATGTAGAGGATACTTTTAGATGTTACCTACTCTCTTTTCTGCTCAGCATTCACATAGCACTCAGCTAGCCTGTGACCATGCTCTGTGTATTTTTTCTTATTTTTAATTTTTTTTAAAAGAGAGAGAATTTTAATATTTATTTTTTAGTTTTCGGCGGACACAACATCTTTGTATGTGGTGCTGAGGATCGAACCCGGGCCGCACCCATGCCAGGCGAGCGCGCTACCGCTTGAGCCACATTCCCCAGCCCATGCTCTGTGTATTATACATATGCATCCACAATTTCCACTAGGGAATCTTAAAATTGTACACCTTTTATACAATCTTCAGAAGTTCTACATAATTCTTTAAGTTAGTTCCATAGTTCTTGATAAAACTTTTAAAATCCAAAATTGTCACCATGATTCTTGCTTTTGGTTCACTTGCATGATCTTTACTTGTAATAACAGACTCCAAGTAGCCAGGCTTAGCTAGGAAAGTCAGGGTAGCCCCTCTGGGAAAAATGGCACTAATGTTCTCTCAAAAGAGCATAGAACTCTTTCGCAGAAGAAGGGAAGGCAGGGCATTCTAAGTGGAGGGAGTGAAATGAACAAATACAAAGAGGCATAGGTTTGCCATGTTTAGGTTACTAGAGGCAATTTAATGTAGCTGGAACATATAGCCAGGATTCAGGAAGGGTGGGGAGAAAGCCAGATGATAGGGGTCCTGCAAATCATGTTAGAAATTTCTATTCCCAGCTTAAGGGGATGGGCTACCTTCAAAGGATTTTAAATGAGCATGAATACCATTGTATTTATAAAAGTTCATTCCTTTTGTAGCTTTTGGAGAGAGGTAAAATTAGAGGCAGGGTGACAAATTAAGAAGTTGCTGCTGAGTCAAGTGAGAGGTGAAGGGAAGATAAAATTAAGGCTCTCGGGACTCTGGCTGCGATCACAGTGCCATGACTTTAATTGCCCACCGTTGTCTTCTCTGCTTCCATCTGTATGTTCTGAATCTGACTATTGGCTGTCAAAGGTTGTGAAGTTTATTTTTGGTGTATGTTAAGTATTTCCTTAGGAGAGAATGTAAAAGCCCTCTTCCTTAGACTGAGATCATATTGAGAAATGGCAAAGCAGGTGGGGTTTTTGTTTAGGAAGGAACAACTTATGATTTCCCCATTGGATTGGATTGCTCTCATTTCACTGAGGAAATTGAAGTCCTGTGTTTTGCGTTAGGTTCTGGTCCCCTTCTTGGGAGTAGGTGGGAGGACCTCCTCCAGGTTCATCACACTCGTCTCACACCTGGATTCAGGGAAACACAAGCCAAAACTGCTTTTTACAGCTTTGATTCCTGCTTTTATCTCTTTCCCTCACCTATTTGTAGTTTTCTAACTGCTTAACTGTAGGATTTTAGCCAAGTCCTTTGGAGAGCATCATCCTTTTATCATGTCCTGGAAGAAGAACAACAAAAATGAGATAATGAGATCCATAAATATTCACATTCAGATCAGAGATATTTTTCTAGTAGATTCTGTTTAATCTGGCTCCTCTTCATGATGTCTGCTTTCCTTTTGGAAATGTAACATCTAAAAGAAGAAAGCCATTTTAGCCAATGTGCATTTACTTACTACTGGCTTACAGGCATTTGCAGAAAGTGAAAGATAAACGTTTCATTGACAGTTATGGAGCAATAATTGCCAGGGTAGTAAAGTCGTGTCACAAAGGGTCTGGGAACACCAGGCATGGGCTTTGGGTGTAATATCATGCAGCAGATGTATCTTCAACAAATATTTTTTTTCTATTGCTTTTTGGGGTATAACTTTCAGTAAATTGCTTAACTGTATACTTTACTGAATTTTTAACATACTTTTGCATCCCTGCAAATGCCACTTAGATCAAGAGAGCCATCATCCAGTTTTCCTGAGCTACTTGCCAATCAGTTACACCTCCTCCCTCTGGAGGTAATCATCTTCTGACTTCTACCATCTAGATTAGTCTTCTCTTTTGTAAACTTCATATAACTAAAAAATTAAAGTATGTATTCCCATATTCCTGGCTTTATTTCCTCAACATGATGTCAGTGAAATTCATTAATGTTGTATTTATCAATAACTATTTTTTATTGATATGTAGTTTTCCATTGTATCAATATACTATAGTGCATATTCTTGGTGGACATTCCTGGTTTTTGTCCATTGGAATAAAGCTATTTTTTTTGGTAAACACATTTACTATATATATGGATAAAATTGCTGGGTTATAAAGTAGGTATAGATTTAGTTCTTCAATATTTCCAATTGAATTTAGAAAGTAGTTGAAATAATTTATACCCACCAGCAGCCCATGCCAGTTTTCCTGTATTTACAGCTTCTAACACTTACACTCTGCTCCATTGGTCTGCTTATTTCTCCTTGCACTAATACCATACAGATCGAATTATTGTAACTCTTAGAGCAAACCTCAATATCTAGTGGTATTTGTCTTCCATCTTTATTCTTCAAGATAGTCTTGGCTATTCTAGGTCTTTTGCCTTTCCAAATAAACTGTAGAATCAGTTTTCCATTAAAAAAAAATCTTCAGGGGTTTTAATTAGAGTTACATTATCTATTGATGTATAGATAAATGTGGTTCTGACATCTGTACATTGTTGGTACTCTTATCGTGAACATGATGTCTTTCCATTTATGTGCGCCTAGACCTCTCCCAGCCGTTCTGTCACCTTTGAGGTCTTGCCTGTCTTTCATTTAGATGTGTTCCCTTTCAAGTTCTCTTCTTCCTTTTGTACCTCTCTGTTCCCACTAAGACCATTTTCTTCCCACCTGGAGAACTTTCCTGTTGAATCCTGTGGTACTTTTCGGCTGACAGTGAATTTTCTCAGTGTTTTTTTGTCTGATAATATTTTTCATTTCCTCGAGTTTTTTTTAATTTTTAAAAAAATTTTTAGTTGTTGATGGACATTTATTTTATTTATGCATGGTGCTGAGAATCAAACCCAGTGCCTCACGCATGCTAGGCAAGTGCGCTACCACTGAGCCACAACCCCAGCCCCATTTCCTCGAGTTTTTGAGGAACTCTAGTTTGGCAAGCATTGCTTTGTTTCATAATTTTAATGACTTGTCTGTCTTTTGGCCTCCATGGGCTGCAGCAGGAAGCCAGGTGTCATTCTTGTATATTTTCCTGAATGTTTCTTTGCGCTCTGGCTGCTCTGAATATTTTATCTTCAGTTTTCAGAAATTTAACTATAATGTATCTGAATATGTTTTTTCTTGTATCTTTCCTACTTGAGGTTCACTGTCTTCTTGATAGGTTGCTGGCATTCATTACATTTGCAAACTTTTTGGCTATTATTTCTTTGAATATTGCCTCTTTTACATTCTCTCACTTCTTCTGAGATACTGATGACATGTGTGTTACAACTTTTCATGGTATCCTTATATTTCTTGTTCTCTATTGTGTGTGTCCCCTCCCATTCTGGTGCATCAAAATTTGGATACTGTCTGTTGACCTTTCAATTTAATTAATCTTATTTGCTGGTTATGTTAGTTATCTTTTAAGTCTTATTCTTTTAAGTTGTCAGTTCTAGGATTTTATTTATTTAAATAAAATAAAGTGGATGACATCATCATCATCATCATCATCATCATTATTATTTTGGTACCAAGGATTGAACTCAGGGGCACTTGACCACTGAGCCACATCCCCAGCCCTATTTTGAATTTTATTGTGAGATAGGGTCTCACTGAGTTGCTTGGTGCCTCACCGTTGCTGAGGCTGGCTTTGAACTCGCCATCCTCTAGTCTCAGCCTCCCCAGCCTCTGGGATGACAGACATGTGCCACTGCGCCTGGCTGGATGACATTATTGATGTTCTGGATTGTATCATCTCCCCTGAAGAACCCTGAGTTTTCTTCTTCATTCTGTATGCTCAGTTGCTTTGAGCATTGTTGGGGTGGTCAATTGAGTTTTTGCCCTTAGTCCTACAGGACAACTCATCTTCCTTTCTTGGGATCTTGAATGCCTGGATGTCTGTCATAGCTTCTCTGTTGTGGCTGAACTGGAACCCTAGTGTCTCCCAGCTTAGTGCAGTCTGTGGAGTCTCTGTTGAGTTCTTTGTCTCCTTCAGATCTTCTCTGTTGGCCTCTCAGATTCTTGTCCTGTTCATAGTGTGGCTTAAGAATAATCTAGGAATCCAAGGAGTACTTTTTCTTGCAGGTTTGAGAGCTTCTGTGGAGTTCTCACCTCACCGTGATTCTGAAGTCTCCTTGGTTTACCATCTCTAAACTCTAGTCTCTGTTCCTTCATCAGTGAGAGATTCCCCCACCCCTTAAATTAATAAGCTTTATTTTTAGAGCAGCCGTAGGTTTACAGCAGAACTGAGTGGAAAGTTCCTGCCCCCTGTTCCCCATACACACTCTTCCTCAGAGTGGTACTTCTGTTACAATCAGTGGACCTATCTTGACACACCCATTGTTACCAAAGTCCATGGTTTATACTAGGGTTCACTCTTGGTGTTGTATGTTCTATTGGTTTTGATAAATGAACAATGATGTATATCCCTATTATAGAATCATACAGAGTAGATGCGCTGTTCTAGGACTCTTTGTGTTGTGCTTTTTTATCCTCCCTCTCCCCTAACTCCTACAACCAACAATCATTTTACTGTCTCTATAGTTGTGTCTTCCCAAATATCATACAGTTGCAATCATATAGTATTTAGCCTTTTCAAATTGACTTTTTTTGATGTGGAAAAAACTTAAATATATTACTAGGTCTTTTTTATAGATAGCTCATTTTTTCTTTAAATTTTTTTTTTTTTTTAGTTGTAGATGGACACAATACCTTTGTTTATTTATTTTTATATGGTGCTGAGGATCAAACCCTCACACATGCTAGGCAAGTGTTCTACCATGAGCTACAATCCCCGCTGGGTAGGTCATTTCTACTTAGCATTGAGTAATATTCTATTGTTTGATGAACCATAGTTTATCCATTCGCCAACTAAGGACATCTCGATTGCTTCCAAATTTTAATTGTGAATAAAGTTACTGTAAACATCTACATACAGGTTTTTTTTTTTCAGTTCATTTTGATGAAGACCAAGGAATGCAACTCTTGGAACATAGAGTTTATCTTCCAAAATAGTTGCATTGTTTTGCATCTCCCCCACCCCCACCCCACCATGAACCAGAATGCCTGTTGTTCTACATGCTTGCCAGCATTTGATATTTTCAGTATTTTGAATTTTGGTCACTGTAATAGGTGTGTAGTGGTATCTCATTATTTTAATTTACAGTTTCCTAATGACGTTGTTTGAGCTTTAAAATTTTTACTGTGCTATGGTTTGAAAACAGTCAGGGAGAGTACAGGGTAAATGTAGTGTGACCTCGTGTGTTTCCCTTATTAAGGATTATAGCCCCATGTTGGTTGGTTTTCAATGCTTGCAAATATGTTGGTTTTCAATGCTTGCAAATATGTTTCATATTTTTTTTCATAGTTTTTGTAGGGAGAATAAATCTGATATAAGCTACTCTATCATGATTAGACCCAGAATTACAATAATCCCTTATTGAAATTTTTATTAAATGTAGGAGAAGTGTTAGATTCTATAGACACAGAAATGCACAAGACATGATCTCCACCCTCCAAAAGTTTATAATCTCCTAAGGTAATAGTTCTCAAGAATCAGTGGTGCTAAACTATATTTTGTAACAAGGTTTAGTTATTGATTTTCTTGTGATTTCTATGTACTGGAATCTAGAAAGTTTTATAAAGCAGTTTCTTTTAAGTATTATTTGTCCTAAATCTAATACTTAATATTTTATAATATTCTATAGAATACTTTGAACACTTCTAGGAAATAAATTTTAGTAAGCAAATAAGTTTTAGTCTTATTGAACGAATGTTGAGAAATCTGGTGAAATAATTCCTGTGACTGTGGTAAATGATATAAAGTTCACTGGAGTTCTGAGGGGCCAGCCTGATTAACTCTGCCTGCAAAGCAGGGGAAGAGTCTGTAGGGGTTGACATTTGAATTGAGTCTTTAGATTGTTAGTGCTATGCTTCATCAGTTACTGCTTTGGTTATATTTTGGGAAAAGAGAATTAAAACATCCTAAACTGCCGCAGTCCAGCTGGCTGGGCAAAATAACCGGGAGGTGACGAACAACTTGTGTACATTGATACAGCAGGAGTGGGAGCCGTTTATTGTAGGACAGGAGGGGGGTATATATACATTACACACAGCTTATCTTAATTAACATAAACTAGATACAGCAGTCAACCAATAAGGAATCTCTACACTTAATGGCTCGATGATGTTACTTCACAAACCATTCCCTCTGGCAAAATGCCAGGTGCCATCTTGACTTGTTTACAGACCCTAACACTGAACATTTAAATTAGGATATCTTTGCAATTAATCACAGGCTTCTAACTCATCATCTGAAGTCAAAGACCTATTGGAACAGAAAAACAAGTTGACCTTAGAAGTGGCTGAACTTCAGAGGCAGCTTCAACTAGAGGTCAAGGTATCTGGCTCTTCTTTTATTTTTTCTATTTCTGTCTTGGTTGTTAAAGAATATATTAAACACATTGGGATGCCCAGGTGAAATGAAAGCTCATTTTATTTTTTGCCCCAAAGAAGCATTCCTTTCATCACTGAGTAAATTCCCATTATTTGGCTGCTGTTGTCCAGTGAAATTTTTTTGTAAGTAGCCAAAGCACATAAAGACTGTTTGCTTTGACAGAGTTAAAGAAACACTGTTGGATTCAGGTGGGACAATCAGAAACTAGATGTATAGTTAGTATGTAAAACATTGAACTAAATAGGAGTAGCAGAATAAAGTTTAGCTGGAAATTGCTTTTAGGAGTATTACAATTCACTAGGTATAAATATTTAAAATTCTTTGGAGTTTGAACTCTATGCTTTATTTTTATTTTTAGTTGTCAATAGACCTTTATTTTATTTATTTATATGCGGTGCTGAGAACTGAACCCAGTACCTTACACATACTCTACTACTGAGCCAAAACCCCAGCCCACTCCTATGCTTTAATTATGCTGTTTAATTAAATTGTTCAGTAATGTAAGTGCAAAGACATGGAGTCCATTAGAGTTTGGAAGTAGGTTTCTGTGGGATGATGTGAATATACAGTGGTGGTACTTTAAAATGGCACTGCTTCATTTTAGAATCAACAAAACATCAAAGAAGAGAGAGAGAGGATGCGGGCAGACTTGGAAAAGCTGCGAAGCCAATGTGACAGTAAGGTGGAAGAGAACTCCACATTGCAGCAGCGACTGGAAGAAAGCGAAGGGGAGCTCCGGAAGAACCTGGAGGAGTGAGTTTGGGGCCAAGAGCCTGCTATCCTTCCTGAGTTTTTATATTGTGTGCAGCCCGAGCCCCTTTGACCTCTTAACTACACCCAGCCTTACTGAGGCTGCCCACCCTTCCTTTCCTCCCAACAATCCTTGTAAAACCATGAAGTTGATGACATGTGCAGACTGGTAAGCAGGAAGGTTAATAATTATTAAGATTCTTTGTACACCTTGAAGTATGTTTTGTACAGTTTCAGCCTTTAAAGTAGATCTCATGACAGGTGAGAAGTGGGGGACACTGAGTAGTAATAGCTAAAGACAGATTTCAGTGAGCCTGGGCCCAGCTTCCAAAAAGTACTTGTCACATGGCCTCCACAATCTCCCAGTTTGCAAATTTTATTCTGGTTTATGTTGGTCTCTGTGCTGGGTACTTGCACCCCTTCTCAGTCTTTGAGGATGAAATTCAAGTCCACAGTGGACCTTCCTGCCATTGCATCACTTTAAAGTCTGTGGCAAAATGATCTAAAACCTAGATTTAAAAATGTATAGTGATCTTCTTCTCATGCTCTTCCTCTCTATTCTGTTCTTAGTTGCTCTCCTTGTATCAAAGAAGACATTTGGCATTTATTTTTAAGGGATTGGCTAGCTTCACTTAGCATAATCTGCTCTAGTGCCATTCATTTCCCTGCAAATTCCATGATTTTGTCATTTTTTAGTGCAAAGTAATACTCCATTGTGTATAAATGCCACATTTTTTTTTTCCCACTAAACAGGGATGAGAGGGGGGAGAGAAAGAGAGAGAGAAGGGAAATTGCATGGTAAAGGAAGGAGACCCTCATTGTTATACAAAATTACATATAAGAGGAAGTGAGGGGAAAGGGGAAAAAAAAACAAGAGAGAGAAATGAATTACAGTAGATGGGGTAGGGAGAGAAGATGGGAAGGGAGGGGAGGGGAAGGGAGGGAAGGGGAGGGGAGGGGGGATAGTAGAGGATAGGAAAGGCAGCAGAATACAACATACACTAGTATGGCAGTAGGTAAAAAAGTGGATGTGTAACTGATATGAATCTGCAATATGTATATAGGGTAAAAATGGGAGTTCATAATCCGCTTGAATCAAATGTATGAAATATGATATGTCAAGAACTTTGTAATGTTTTGAACAACTAATAATAAAAAAAAAAGGCTATTGTGAGCCGCTGTAATAGATAAGCCTCTAAATCCCAGTGGTTTAATAATAAAAACTTTATTTCTCAACAAAAATAAATAAATAAAATAAAAATTAAAAAAAATGTATAGTGCTATGTATAGCTGTGGCTGTGACGGAAGCCCTCAGTGAAAGGTTAAGCTGGGATCAAATTCAGAGGGAATTCAGGAAAAGTGGGACTTTATGTCATAACAGCATTTGATTGCCCTAGTAATTTTGATGGTAGGGTTATTTGCTTTAAAAATATTCAGAGAGATGAGTTTCAGAAAATAAGTTAGCAAGAAAAATATCAGAACATTGAGGGTACAGTAAAGAACTTAGAAACTTGAAAGGTATGGTCATTGTGAGGTTGGAAAACTTTTCCTTGTTAGAGAGTGATTATTTTAGGGTTTGTGAGCCACGTCATCTTTGTCATAACTGCTCAACTCTTATCATTACTCTGTGACCATGGCCACAAGCAATGCATAAGTGGACCAGCAAAGTTGTGTTCCAGAAACACTTTCACAGAAATAGTCATGGGCTGGATTGGCCTACAGACCATAATTTGATGATTACCCTGGTCTAGAGTACAGGGATAAGGGAGGATGGGATGACTTTGTTGAAAAAAATATCAAAGTTGACTTTTGTCATTTCTTTATCTTCTATGCTCAAATTCTAGTAGCCTACAGTCTCCATTTGGGTAGAAAATTTCCCTACATTCTGCCCCCCCCCCCCCCTTTATTGGTTTGAGCTCTCACCTGACATCTGGGTCAAGTTGGACTGTAGCCCTGGGTTCTTACCAGGTGCCATTTTAGGTTGCTGATCCGTTCTTTACTGCAGAGAGGCTCCTTGGGGCTTTACATGACTCTGTGACTGTCTGAAGTCAGATTGGATGAAGAACTGTGGAGCCCAGGAGACTCTCTGATGGGCTTCCTCCCTGCCAGGCTCTTCCAGGTGAAGATGGAACGAGAACAGCACCAGACGGAGATCAGGGACCTCCAGGACCAGCTCTCAGAAATGCATGATGAGCTGGACAGTGCTAAGCAGTCTGAAGACAGGGAGAAGGGGGCGCTGATAGAGGTAAGGGGTGGTGGCCAGTGACAAGGCCTCACCCGCTGCAGAGGAGGGGGTGGGGGGGCTGGGTGCCATTCTGTTGTGTTCATTCACCTGTGGCTGTGGTCAGATTCTGGGAGAGCACCATGTGTCGTTAGTTATAAACATTCTTAGGAAAACTTGGAAAAGAATAGCACATTACCACCCATCAGTCACCAATGCTGGTTCAACAGTTGTCAATATTACTTACTTACTTACTCCATTAATTTACCTGTTCATACACTCATCAATTTTTTTTTTTTTTGTTGTTGTTGTTTACTGAACCATTTCAAAGTATAGACACCGTACCTCATTCCTAAACTTTTCAGCATGCATCTTTGAAAAATTGGGGAATTTATTTTACATAATTGTAATACCATTATTATACTTAAAATATTAATGATTTCCATAATGAATATCTATCTATTTCCAATTCTTGGTCCTTATTCAAAATTTCCAGATGTTCCCCCAAGCATATTTTATAGTTTTTTCCCTTCCTCTGAGCTAGGTTCTAGTCAGAAATCACGTATTTCCATTATTGTGTCTCTCAAATTTCATTTTATCTTAACTCCTCCTATCCCCCATCTCCATCTCCTTGCTCTGTCTCCCATCCCACTAACCTAAAAAAAATTGGAGCAGTGCCCCACATTGTGGATTGTTCTGATCGTCTCTTTATGGTGTCTGTTAACTTATTTCACTATCCCCTATATTTCTAGTAAATTGGAATTATATCTAGATACTAATAGATTTAGGGCAGACTTTGGACAAGAATAGTTTGTAAATATGATGTTTATGGAAAAAATGAGCAATAAGATTGTGGTAATACTTAACGCTTTTTGTTTCTTAAGGCCCCACAAGCCTACAAGCTCCGTAAAGGAAGGGTCAGCTCTGCACAGCATCGGTAGCATTTGCTACAGTTCTGGGCTGCACAGAGCCACAGTACTGGGCTGCACAGCAGTCTGTACATATTTGGTGGATGATTAGATGGATCTATGAGTGAGAGAGTGAATGAATGAATGAATCCATTTGCTACATACCCAGGCTGCCCATCTGGCTTTTGCTCATAAGATCTATTAAATACTTTCCTTATATTTATCTGTAAGCCAGTGGATAAAGGTTGACGCTTCCTACTTAACATTTGTTAATTATTATAGGGTTTACCAAAGACCCTTGTTATGTCTTCTCTGAGTTATTGTCAGCCTGCTGAGGTGAAAGATACACAAGTAAGAAATACTTAGAATGCAAGAATGTCGATTTTGAATGTCTATATTTTGGGGGGACATATAATTGAGGGTGAGAAAAATAACTTTTCTCTCTGCTCATTTTGGTGTTTCATATTTGCTATAACATTATTATCACCTGGATTTTGACATAGTTTTGAAACATTTCTTTTATAAGGTTGTAGGAAAAAACCTAACAAATAAATAAATAAGTAAAACACCATTTAGATCAACGCTCCACCCAAAAAGTTAAAAAAAAAAAGTTACCTTGTCATTATTTAATTTTCCTCTGCTTTTCACCTTAGAGCTTAGGCGTTTTCTTTTACCCTTTCTTGGGACTAAAAAGCTTCTGGCTCTTAAGTTCCTGGAGTTCCTTGAAGTCTCCATTGTCAACTGCTTTCTGTCCCCTTCCTTGTTTAGATTTAATGGTTCCTCCTCCGAAGAGCTGAGCCCCTCTCCCTGGCCTGGCAGGCACTGAGGGGAGAGGGCTGTGGTCACACAGTAGTGGGGCTTTTGAACTCTTGTCACATGGTCACAGAAGGATAATTTTCTCTACTCCCACAGAACTGTCTCTTGGTCCCTGTTTAGACCTTTTCTCCACAGAAGGCCTCAGCCTGTTCCTTAGCACCTGGTGTTCCTCTGTTGATCAGATGATTCCTTAAATACCACCACATTCATGATGCTAGACTGCATCATGGCTCCATCACTTTGGGGCTCAGAATTAGGAGGACAAAGTGTATTACAATGGGGCTTTGAAAATATGTGTATTTATTACTAAAATATTAAAGTAACATAAAATGAAATTTAAAAATGGGTAACATACACATTTCCCTAATACCTAAGCAATTAGTTTTATTTCTACATTTCATTTGCCTTTTCAACCATTGGTAGGTTTATCCACCCATCTGTATATAATGTAGGGATAATCATAGTGCCTTTTCAGTTTTGATAACTGCTTTTAAAAGTTAATAAGTTGGGCTGGGGATGTGGCTCAAGCCGTTAGCGCGCTCACCTGGCATGAGTGCGGCCCGGGTTCGATCCTCAGCACCATATGCAAACAAAGGTGTTGTGTCTGCCGAAAACTAAAAGAAATAAATATTTTAAAAAAAGTTAATAAATAAGAAATACTTTTCCTTATTATACTTTATAATTTTTATATTTAAATTTTAAGGAGATAGACCATAATATGCTTAATCATTCTAATGTATTTTTCTTTCTTTCGCAATTCTGAAAAAATTTTGTGGTGACCCTTCTTTACGTGTACCCTTTTACTACTTAAAAAAAAAGTTCCTAAAGATAAGTTCCCAGAAATGATGTCATTGAAGAGTTTATGGTTTCAGTAAAAGTATAGCTTCACAAACAAGTTCAAAGAGAAGACTATCATATTTGGATTCCTTGTGTGGATGTTTCATTGGTTCTAAAAGGAAAAGATGTTATCTTAGTTCCTAGGAAGTCTCCAGAGTTCCTGATTTTTCCCTAACAATTGAATTCTGTAATTGCTAGTCGCTCTTTCCCATAATATTTTCCATCCTCTTAGATGCTCTCTTTTTGTTCACATGACCTAGATGTACATTTGTACCTCTCTCTTCTAGCTGGCTCACTCAACAATTTATCATCATTGCTTCTCCCCTCTTTGGTGCCTACCACAGTGCCAAATAGCAAATGAATAAATAATTTCCACTATTGAAATTGCTTTTAAAAGTAATCTCTTTTAAAAGGGAGTGATTTCTAAAATGAACCACCTACTTCTTTAACTCTTTTAAAAATATTTGTTTTTTAGTTATACATGGACAAAATATCTTTATTTTGTTTATTTATTTTTATGTGGTGCTAAGGATCAAATCCAGTGCCTCACATGTGCAAGGCAAGTATTCTGCCACTGAGCCACAGCCCCGGTCCATATTTCTTTTAACTCTTAAAGCACAACATCCTGAGTATTTAATAACTGAGCATAATTTCGTTTTTGAAACAGTTTGTTGTTTTATTTATATTACTTCCTAGGAAAGAATCTGAGCCTCAGTATTGTGTGTTCAGGTCTAGGCTGATAATGAGAAATACGAGAATGGGAAACTGAGCACATCTTTTCTTAAACATGTTCCTGGAATTTCTGTCCCCTGATTGTTTAGTCCTTTGCAGGACAGGAATGGTTTTATCTGCTGCCACCTCTTTGCAGGAGAAGTTAGGGGGTGGACACAGTGTTTTGTTTTGTTTTTTCCTCCTTTTGCAAATTCATCCTTGTAGTTTTTATTGGTTTCCCTTGACATGTCAGCAACATTTAAAACATGATCTATGGTCTCTACAGCATTAATAAAATAGACTCTATCTCCTTGTCTCTTTCAGTTTATTCTTCATATCTTAATAAAAACTAGCCGGAGGGAATCTGATAACAGATTATAGTTGTAGCCAAGTTTTCCATGGCTTTTGGCTTAGATCAGGCTCTTAAACACAATGAACATTAAACCCTTAAGCTTTTGCATGTCTGAAAAAGGTTGAAGGTCCTGTACTTTGTGAGGCCTGCAAAAAAGCCAGATTTTTTCATGAAATCTCTTTTTGTTTTGATGCTGGGGATTGGACCCAGGGCCTCCTGTATGATGAACGGGTATTCTGCTACTGAGCTACTCCCCCTACCCCTTGCACAGAAGTATTTTTTAATATTTCACATTTTGTTAAATAACACCAAGCCTCTATAAGGAATATGCAAAAGGAGGAATTTTAAAATTTAGGAAATAATGAAATGGTTAAAGGAAGAAATAGTAGGGTTTAATTTTTGTTTTTTAGCCAAATTAGTTATTCTTAATTGAATTAATTGTTCTGAAAATTTAAAACTCAAGTTATAAAAGTGATCATAGAGCAAGTTTTGGGACACTGCTTTGTCTATGAATGCCTTGCCTTCCATCCTGGGGGTAGTAGGTTAACATGCAACATCTCAGTGCCACAGCAGTGGTGTTTTCCACTGTTGAGAGGTCGTTCTTTGATGGAGCCTGCAGTTCTGAAAGATGCACCTAAATTCATAAGTCTTGTGGTGTCTTATTCCTGGCATGTGCCAATGTACTTCAGTATTTCTGAAATATTCTGGTTAATGTATCAATCTGGGATATTTGTGCTCGGAAATGAGGTCTCTAATTGGGCACCATGGTGCATGCCTGTAATTACAATGACTTGGGAGGCTGAGGATTGCAAGTTTGAAAGCAGCCTCAGCAACTTAGCGAGATTGTCTTAAAAAGACTGGATGCAGCGGTTTAGTGCCTCTGAGTTCAATCCCTAGTACCCAAACAAACAAAACTCTAAAACAACAACACCAAAAAGAAATGAGTTCTCTAAAATAGCTATAACTTCTTTTGCTGTGACATATTACTGTACATTCTGTAAGTCTTAATTAAAAAAAACTAAAACTTATGATGGTTCTCACCAGCTATGTTGTACTTTCTAGATCATCCTTCCAGAGCAAAAGTTCTGAGGATTTTTCTGTCAGCTACCATTGTGATATGAAACCTCTTATTTACCCCTGCAATGACCATTGGCCAGAGATAGGGCCCTGATCTAACTTCTGGGAAGCATTTGTGCAGAAGAGAATCTAGACCAGTGTTTTCCTTATTTATTTATTTATTTATTTATTTATTTAGTGTGTGTGTGTGTGTGTGTGTGTGTGTGTATGTATAGGTGGCAAGTGATATAAAGCTTTCTGTGGGCAAAAAAGTTGCTGCCTAGACATTTTGGCACCTCTCAGTAGTTTGCTGTTGGGCTGGCGACTTGTGCCAGGCCATGCTTCCTTTTCCGCCCAGCTTTCCTTCCTTCCTTGTCTTTCAGGCTCTGGTCATGTTTCTTTGTTTTGGTTTAAAAGGTAGACCTCCTTACTGGCCAAACAGAGCTCTGTTTTGTCTGCCCTTCACAGGGAGATTCATTGTGCCATTGTTGGATCCTTGACCTTCCTGAGCGTGTGGTTTGTGGTCAGGTCTGTGGTCACTGAGTGGTAAAGAGAAAGGATGTTGGAATTCAATCCGGGTCACAGTCTAGGCTCTGCTGCTTACAAACTGTGCCATCCTAAGCATGTTAGCACCTCAGAACTCCAGTTTGATTTAAAAAAAAAAATTTTTTTTTGTAGTTGTAAATGGACAGCATGCCTTTATTTTATTTGTTTCATTTTTATGTGTTGCTAAGGATTGAACCCAGTGCCTCAGACATGCTAGGCAAGTGCTCTGCCACTGAGCCTCAGCCCAACTCGATTTGTTTTTAATTTATAAATGAGAATAATATTCATTTCTTGAATACTCCTCTTTTAATTTTTGGAAATGCCTAGCACAGTTCTTTCTTTTCTGTTTTTTTTTCCTAAATATTTTTTCGTTGTAGATAGACACAATACTTTTATTTTATTTATTTTTATGTGGTGCTGAGGATTTGAACCCAGTGCCTCACTCATGCTAGGCAAGTGCTCTACCGCTGAGCTACAGCCCCAGCCCCCAGCACAGTTCTTGTATGCAATAAGTACAAAATGCAGTCTACTTTTTTAGGTCCCCCTTCCTCCCTCAAGCACATATGTACACACTGTACGCACTGGGTTTTAATCTGCAGGCTACTTGTCACATATGGAACTAGTCTTAATGCGTAAAGTTTTAAAAAGCACTGATTCTAAATAGCCAAAATTTTCCTTCGTTTTTTGATTAGAGTCTACAGAGAGGCTTGTTCATCTCTAATGGATGTTCACTTGTGTCTTAAAGTTTATGCATTTTTTTTTTCTCCTTGATACAACTAACCCCTGGGGTAATAGAGTGAAGTTTTTGAAACTTCATGTTCTTTTGGTCTCTACTCTGGAAAACCTCAAGTGCCACTATGTGATATGGCAAGGTGTAATCTGATTGGATCTTTGCAGCACAGTCCACTTAAGCAACAGCCCCAGCCACAGATAACAGCAAGTCGGTGTAGAATGGACATAAAAACCTCAGTTCTTGACATGCATTGGCAGCAGTAAACAAAAGGCAACGAGAAACAGATATATCCTGGAAACGATAAGTGTGGGAAGAGGAACTGCCTTATCATCAAAACAATGGAGAAATGTGTGAGAGTAAAAGCAGGAAATGTGGTTCAGAATCACAAGGGCTGCTCTGAAGACTCCGGCAGGAGGCTCCAGGAAGCCCTTACAGGGTAACCAGTAGTAGCAGCAACTGCAGGGAGGGTCCCTGTTATGGAGGGGCAGGGCAGGGAGAGTCAGGCGTCTCTTTGACAAATATCAAAGAGACATCATCAAGGACAGGATAAATTTTCATGAAAGCTCTGTGTTTGGTGCTTTTGAAGAGCCAGAGCTGCTTTCTACACCTGGAAGAGTTTATTGACTTTGCATCTGAGTTTATCAATGGTGGCTGGTTAGATTCCTGAGGGGCTAAGTCTTGGTTTACACAATTCACTCCATCTTGGGATTGCTCTAGTTCAGTGGATATGTATGACCTAGAGAAAAGGAAAGAGATTTTGTTGTCAGTTGTAGTTAAATTGATTTAAATGATTTTATCCCCTTAGCAGCAGCATGCTTCCTGAGCTAATTATCCCAGAGGCCTTGGGTCCCCAGGTGGCAGCCGATGCTCTGAGTCCCAGGAGCTCTAAGGGAATAGGATATATTCTTATTCAGAAACCACAAATGAAAGAATAAACTTGTTTATAATTCTGGCATCTCCAGACTCCTGCTGTACTTCGGGTGTTAATTTGTTTATACCCAGAATAGACAGATGCTCCTAATAGCCTTGATCCTTGCATCAAAATTATAAGGAATCAGATTCATATCCTTTCAAGAAGCCAACAATGTACCAGGGGACATAAGAAAAATGATCACAATAGGTAGAATGCAAGGTGACAAGAGTCGAGTGCTATCAGAGGGAGAGTGGGAGTGAGATGGGTGTTCAGGAGAGGTGTGCAAACAAGAACTCTTGAAGGCAGTCATGTGACATCTGAGCCTTCAAAGACTTTCCGAAGGGCAGAGGAAGACAGAACTGAGAGGGAAGAAGGTAGCTCCAGAGGATGCTACGTGGATCTTATAGAGACAGCAGGTGAGAGACTGATTTGGGGGAAGAGATGCATGGCTATTGAAGGCCCCTGTGCAAGAGATAATGAGGGCCTAACTTGGGGAGGCAAAGGGGAGGATCTAAGATATTACAGGACTAACTTTTTGGTTATGAGGGACAAGGATGAGGGAAAAGCTAAAGGTGTTGTCTAGTTCTTAAGCTGGGTACCATACACAAAAATGATGAAAAATAGAAGTGGAAAGGAAGGAACACGATGAATTCACTGAAAACTGCAATCCTATTGAATCTGGGTTTCCTGGGGGTATTCCAGATGGGTGCCTCTAGAGGATGTGTTAATGTAGGAATGAACTCAGAGGAGGAGTGGAGGTAAAAGATTTGGAGTCATTTTTGTAGAATTAATAGTTGGGAAAAAAATTGATGAACTTGTTAAAGGAGGAGAGTAAAGAATGCAGAGTTGCATTCCTGGGGATCATCTTAGCTTTTGGAAAGAGGGAGACAAAAGCCAGAAAAGATCTTCACAGAAAAAGTGGCCTTGGGAAAGGATCCAGGAGGGTGTAGAAAGAGGAGACTCTTACGGAGATGGCAGAGAGGTTAATAAGAGGAAAGGCCACTGGATGTAGTGATTTGTGGGTCATGATGACCTTGGAGGTGGCTGTCTTAGTAAAAGAGGGACAAAAGCCATACAGCAGGAGATCAGGAAACAAATGAGTGGTCGTGAAGTCGAGGCACTGAGCAGAAATTATGCTTTCAAAAAGTTTGGTAGTAAAGTTTTGTGGCTAGCCAAGATTCAAGTAAATAGAAAAGAACAAAATGGCAGAAAGAAAAGATAACAGATGGAGTAGAGACTTGGAGTAAGCTGGTAGGGAACAGATGCTTCTCCAGGAAGTGGCTTTGGGTGGGGAGATGCCTGGCATGCAGAGAAGAGTTGAGATGGGGGGAAGCTGAGCATTTTCATGTTCCATAAGGGCAAGCCCTGAGCTGGAGGAACACCAAGGAGTCCAGGACAAAGTCATTGAAGTAAAAGGAAGGCTGATCCTTTTCAGGCCACACTTGGGCCTGGGTGATGTGCTTCATAGTGGAACTTGATGCCCCAGTTTTGTGACTTTCTTTGTGAACTGTAGCAATGTAGCAGGAGAAAATGTGAAAGTTGTGCTCCACTCAGATGGGCAAAAGAAATGACAAATTCTAGGATGAATTCATCCCAAATTCTAGGCATGTAGATGAAGGGTTTGGACACTCTCAGGGCTCAGCAGGTATGAAGCAGATGAGGCCAGCTGGTCAGCCTGGCCCTCTGCAGCAAGCGCCTGAAGGGCCACAACAAGGACAGCAGGCCATCCTGCAGAAGTGAAATGAGAGGCACAACCAGACATGTCCCCTCAAAGCAGTGACATTAACTTTTTTCCTTCATATTAAATCTCAAAGAGTTAGGCCAGAGGAATCAAAGGGAATGATGGCCTCTGAGGTACAGAGGAAGAGACAGAAGTAGTCTCCACAGGTGTGCAGTATGAGGAAGGAGGGAGCAAACAGGACAGGTGAGGTGGCCGTATACCTGGTGGCTGCCTGGAGGAGACATACTGGTCCACTCCACAAAGATGTCTGCTCTTCACCTCCCTTCTTCCCATATCCTCCCTTTAGGAGCTCCTCCAGGCAAAACAGGATCTTCAAGATCTGCTGATCGCCAAGGAGGAGCAGGAAGACCTCTTGAGAAAGCGGGAGCGTGAACTCACGGCCCTCAAGGGTGCTCTGAAAGAAGAGGTTTCCAGCCATGACCAGGAGATGGACAAGCTGAAGGAACAATATGATGCCGAGCTGCAGGCCCTGAGGGAGAGCGTGGAGGAGGCCACAAAGGTGAGTCGGCCGCACTCACCTGTGGACTATAGGGGATGGGATGGGGTCACAGAGTCTGGCATGGAGACAGATAACTGTGTGACTTTGTTAAGGAGCAGAACGGAAACAATTTCCAGATTTCTGGTACATTTGTCAGCTTAGTGTCACTGTGATCAAAATACCCAACGAGAACATCTTCAAGGAGGAAAACGTTATTTTGACTCCTAATTCTAGAGGTCTAATCTATGGTCAGCTGATTCTATTGCTGGGCCAGGATGAGGCAGCACATCATGGGGAAAGGGCAGAGTGAAGGAGGACTGTTCCCTTCATGGCTGACCAGGAAGCAGAGAGAGGGGAAGGGGATACAGGGGAGATGCACCTTTCCAGGGCACACACCCCCAGTGACCCACCTCCTCTAGCCAGGTCCCATTTACCACCCAGTTACTCCATTCAAACTGGGAAGGACTGCTGACATCACAGCTCTCATAATCCAGTCATTTCACATATGAATATTCCTGTATCAACATGGGAACCTTTGGAGGACACCTCACATCTAAATAATACCATCTGGAATCTTTTGCCCCTGCCTTATCCTGTTCCTTTGGACTTTGTACAGCCTTTTGTTAAACCATTCAGGGTTTTTTTTTTTTTTCCCTTCAGAAAAGTTACAGGAGGGTTAATTGGCTGAATTGTCCAAGCCCTTCCAAGATAATTTTTCTCTTAATTGAATTTTTGGCTCCTACAAATAGATTCTAAATTATGTCAAAGTCTGTTGGTGCAGGATTCATATTGGCTGTTGAAGAGAAAAACAGCATTTTCAAGGGGGAAAACTCTTTGAAATATCATGCCATCTTTAGGGAAAGAGGGGAATTATAGAATATGAAATTTTGAGTCTTTCTAACATATAAGTTAAAGACGCTGAAGAAAGAACTCTTGGTGTTGTTTATCCTGTGAAGATTACAGTGACAGCTCAGAGTTAGGAGGCCCTCTCTCCCCAGCCCCATGGTGATTCACTGATTTTCAATTATGTCATGGTAATTGCAAATGACAAGAAGTGAAAGATGGTTTTGTTTGTTATAACAATAAAAAGTCTGGGAAATAGTCTGTTTGGGGTTATTATAACTTTGAGATAGTTTTTAAAAAGCCCCTTGTTGATTTGCTTATCTTAGGTTTTTTTTTTTTTTTTGAGATTTGATTTGAGGGGAAAAGAAGCAAAACGGATTTCAGTGTCATTGCTTTGGGGAGGACATGTGGCAATAGCCTGGTGTCCTTACTGTTGACCTTTTTCAGGGATACGCCCATAGGCTCCTGAGTAAGATGATTCTCCTTGGGGCACATTGTTTCTTTATCACCCTTTGATCCTGTATCAAAGACGAATTAACATGTTATATTCTATGTGGCTCATTTAAAGATTGTTGAGAACAGTGTATGGGAATGTGTGTGTAGCCATTTGATTGGGACGAAAGTCAAACTTGTGGCACATGTAGAAAGGATTTTTTTTTTTTTTTTGGAAGCTGCTAGGTCTTCTCTCATAGGCATGTGAGTGGGCAAGGAGACATGGCAGGTGAAGGAGGACACCTTTATTGTATGGAATTGGGATCACTGGTAGAGACTTGGGCTCTTCATTTTGACCTTTCAGAGGTCTGCATTGTGTGTTATCTCAAAGTATTTTTATTATTCCAATTCAAGAGAGGTGACTGTATTGACACACATCTGTCTGTGAAAGAAATAACAGGTGAGTTAGCTTAAATGTGTGTCGTTGGCAGAGAATGCAGAGTTTCTAAGCATTAGAAGCTAACTCTTAGTACCCAAAGAGTGCCCTCAAAGTCTCTTTGCCCCAGGTCATTTTCTGCACTGCTGCCAGCATCAGAGACAACCTGATCGTGTCAGCCCTTGCTTTGGTAACTTGCTTGCTTCCCATTGTCCCAGACTTAAGCTCAAAATGTTAGCTGGGTAGATAATAGAAGTCCCTTTCTTCCTAATCCCATCACTAGAAGACTCCGTGTTCCTTTTGTACTTTTACCGCTTTGCACATCTCCACTTTTCCACCTGACAAACCTGTTCTCATCCTGCAAAACCCTCCCCAGTTGTCCTCTCCCCATGAGCATGCCTTGATTCATCCTCTCCCTTCAGCGCAGTTGGTTGCACCTTCCTTGGGGTTTCTTTTGAACCCTGGCCATTCAGGGTTTGTATCCTACCCTGTTGTAATGTATCCTCTTGCCTGCCTTTTCCCTTAGTCTGAACTTCTTACTTCTTAAGCATAGGGATACTTTTATCTGTTCTTTTTGGAGTGACAAATTCAAGTGCTTCTGGGGCCAGACAGGGAGCATAAATGAGTAAAGCAAGCCGGGTGTGTTGGTGCACTCCTATAATCCTAGTGACTTGGGAAGCTGAGGCAGGAGGATAGCAAATTTGAGATCAGCCTCAGCAATTTAGGCCCTCTCTTAAAAAACAAAAAAGTGGGGGAATTAGAGCTGGGCATGTGACTCAGTGGTTAAGCACCCCTGGATTCAGTCTCTAGTACTAAATAAGTAAATGAAACTCTGAGTGTGTCATTGAGGGGACAGTAGATTATGGTGGGGACTGTGGCAAGTTGGAGAGTATGTCCTTTGCTGTCAGGATCAGTAGCTTCTCTGCTGTAGCTGTGAAAGTCACCAGTGAAGGAATGCTGAGCCCATGTTGATGGATCTTTCAAGTTTTAAGAAATATGACACATCTGGATGTTGATGTGAGATTTCCTGACTTTTAAGCATTGCTGGGGAAAAAAAAATCACATAGACCAAACATACCCCATTGGCAGGTCATCAGTCTGTGATCCTAGCCCCATGAGCTCAGCACGGTGCGGGGCACACAGCCACATTCGTGCAGTGTCTGATAATTGAAAGTTGGTAGAGGCAGATTCCCCTCCTAACTGGGTTTTGAGTCCTGGCCAAGTGGTTTCTGTTAGATTTTTTTTCCAGTGGAAATGTGGGAAGTTTCTTAGAGAACTCTGCTATTCTGTGGCTGGCTTTCGAGTTTCCCTGCAGTTTCTTAAAGAAGATCATGTTTGTATTTTATTGGTAGCTTTTGCTTCTAAAGGTGGCTGCTGAACAGATGTGATGGAATCATGTTTTAGGGAGGGAAAAAAAGTGTAAAAATTTTAGTAGACAGAAGCTGTCTGTTTGTTATGATATTTACATGGCAATTTTGTAGGATAGAATTGTGAGTTTTCTAGTAAACATTTGGAGGAAAAGGAATTAAGTATAGTTGTTTAATCTGGTAAAGAGTGTTTTTAAAATTTGTTCAGCCTTTATGCTGCCTTCGGGGAAGGACTTATCCTTCTGGGACTAAAAGTTGCCTTTTCTTTTATGAATCATACTGCATTAAGATGTTCACTTCCTTGGTAGGTCTTCGGAGATAGCCCAACCTCCTCTCATCTGTTTTCCTAACTTTTGCCACTGCTCCAAGCCAAGACCAACACAGGGCTATTTTATTATTATCAAATAACAAGTACTCTATCCTGGCCTGAGCTTGGGCACTAATAGTTTTAAATTACCAGAACATTTGGTGAAAACTGTCAAATTATAATAAGACCATTTTATAGGTATTCCAAACAGATAACCTGTAATAGTTTTTGGTAGACTCAAACAGCATACCTCTTTTTTTTTTTGGTGGTGCTGGGGATTGAATTTAGGGCCCTATGCATATGAGACAAACAATCTACTGACTGAGCTATACGCCCAGCCCCCACAGTCATACCTTTTAAAGAACAGAGAGGTTGCTCAACAGGCAAGAATTAATGAATGCTTCGGTTATGTGGGACTTCCTAGCTCAGCAAAATTGAATTGGACCTCACCAGTAGAGCAGTGATGGAGAATAGGACTTCGTAGTCCACTAGGAAGGGGATTCTATTAAACATTTTTTTAAATGGCTGTTCAACATATTGGCATCTTATTTCCTAATATACTTTTTTGTTTTTTCTGTTCTGTGTCCTTAATGCTTTTTCCAATTTCATAAAGGAAATGTCCTCTTTCCTTTTGGGTTTGTGGCAGTGATTGGACCCATGGGAGAAGAAGGAGGGGATGGGGTGGGAGTGGCTGCCATCTGGGAGTAGAATGAAGACGGTTCACCACTGTTGGCTTTTCTTTCTCATCCCTGACACTTCTTCTTGCCATCCCTTGTGCAAAGGGAATCACAGGCAGTATAGTTGCTTGAGTTTTCATGGAGAGTAGACTCAGCTCAAATCCAAGTCCCTCAAGAACTTTTCTGTTTACTTCTTGGATTTTAGTTTCCAGAGCCCTGGAGTTGTTGGAAATTTCAATCTTCGTTTTGTCCCTCCTGCTGTGCTGGGAACTGTCCTCATTTTCCACTTGGCATCCCCACGGGGCTTGGCACTTGATGGATTGTTAGGAAGGGCTGGGATTGGAAGGATGAGAAGACAAAAGGGGAGATACCTGTGGAGTCCCCAACAACCCCTAGATGAAACATTAGTTCTGGGTTCTTGTTTATGAAGTAAACATTTCTCAGCAAAGTAAATCTTGACAGTTAGAGGTAATATCATAATGTTAATGGTGGTTTTGGAAGGACTCATTTTGCATCTAAAAGCTTCAGGTACTTTGAGGATGATAAAAAATATACTTTTACATCTGGAAATATGATTTTAGAGTCAGTAGGCATTTTCAGAATGCCTGCCACACAGCAGTTAGGCAACAAACATCTCCTAAGAGGGTGGACCAGGGGGAGGAGGAGGGAGGATAAAGATGCATGAGATACTCTCATCACTTTTCAGTTTTCTGATTGTATTTTAAAATTATTTTTGGTGCATTATAATCGGACATAATAGTGAGCTCATATTTTTAAATACTGCATTGACATGTTGATTGACTGAGCAACAGCCAGGTGCAGGAGATGATGCTATACTCTGTGAGGACATGAAGGTAAACTGGATGGCACCCAGCCATCCAGGAGATGGGAGGTGAGATGAGGAACATGGGAGTTGATGACAGGAAAGAGTGATCGCCCCAAGTGAGGTGGAGATGAAG